ATATATATATATAGGGGTTTTGCGGGAGGTGTATTGTTCAGTTTCACATCACTCTCGTTTTGAACAGTCGTCCTTCAGTCCTGGTGCAATTATTCGTGTGAATCTACAACAAAGAGGGGGGAGGGCTAAACTCGAGTTTCGTTCTTGTTAGAGCTCATCAGCAGTGCATGTCCAATGGCCGTGTCGGGCTTTGAACTCCGGACACTTGACAGGCGAAGTGAACGTGTTACCGCTATTCCACCAGCTCACGTTGGACGCATCTGAATTCTCACGTCTGAACGGACGAACGTGTTCGAACTTGAGCGATGTGATTAGTATGCCCACACCATCGATACCACGAACCAGTAACTGTTCTGGTTGTGACGATCGATTGGCCCGCTTGCCTTGACGTGGGAATTTAGATGCGTCCAACGTGAGCTGGTGGAATAGCGGTAACACGTTCACTTCGCCTGTCAAGTGTCCGGAGTTCAAAGCCCGACACGGCCATTGGACATGCACTGCTGATGAGCTCTAACAAGAACGAAACTCGAGTTTAGCCCTCCCCCCTCTTTGTTGTAGATTCACACGAATAATTGCACCAGGACTGAAGGACGACTGTTCAAAACGAGAGTGATGTGAAACTGAACAATACACCTCCCGCAAAACCCCTATATATATATATATATATATATGGGTCGTGTTCATGTTATCACTTATAATCAATAGAACTGAGGTGGTAAACACAACGGTGGTTTCTTACTGGATGGGGATACCTGTTAGTGATCACTCTTCAGGAAAGCAGTTCACTTGATGATAATTTTTACGCATTTTCTTCACCCATGTCTCTACCGAACTGGTATTCCAAAATGACGAGGACCGATCTTAAGTTTCCCATGCTCTACATAATCGATGAGAGCAGTTTGATGGCTGGTTCGCTTGAGTGGCCATCGTGACATAGAAACAAGGCGGTGTCCAAACAATTACTAAGCTTGATGGGGAAGCGAGGATAGCACCCAAGAAGGGCGAAACACGATAGCGGACTTTCCAGTGTTTTTATCCACCTTATGAATGTCACCTACTAGCTAAATTTGAGAGACATTTACCACCGGATGTATGCTAAAACTGTCGTCGAAAGTTGACGGTGATGTCTCAGTTCTCACTTTGTTCCAAATCGCACAGCAGCGTACGTCAGAACGTATTTGGAGACTGACTTGCCTTCACAAAATAACTGGAGTTTCGCTTATTACATTTCACCTGTCAGAATGAATGGACAAGCGAACGGCTGAATGACGGCAATAAATGAATGTATAAACAAATGAATGAATGAAACAAGAAAGACTAAGTTAACTACCACATCGATTATCTGCCCTCGAACTGCCACAGTAGGCAATCGGCACTATCGATTTTCTGGAATTCAAAAAGTACATCCTATCAGAATTACTCTTTACTGACTTAACACACCGACTCTTCATGCTAGATACCGCAGCTATTCTATTTTTGGTCTCCGTCGGGCTAATCTATGCTATCTATGTCATCATGTGGTTGTGCTGGTACATTTGGAAAGACAAAGCTGGGATAGTCACAATGGACACTGAGGACGTACTGTTTTTCGGTGGTAGCAAATATGTTAGAAACGTATTCTTTTTGGGCGTTGCCATGTCACAACTGTTCTCACCCTGTATGATCAACGAACAACTGACAAACTCGAGCTTGCAATTTGTGGTGCACCTCGTCGCTCGTATTCTTGCCTACGGAGTTTGTGTGCCGTTCTTTAATCATCTAGCTAAACTGCGGTTCCGCAATATGGAAGATTTCCTGGAGAAACGTTTTGACAGTCGGTTTTTGGTTTGGTTCCATCTAGTCACTCGCATTGCAGGTGTTTACTACTTATGGGATTCTTACCAACATGTATACGAGAGTTTCAGATTGTTTAACATGAACTCATCGATAGAATTTGTTTATTTTTTGACGGGATTTGCCACACTGTCGGCACTCGGTGGGATGAATGTTATTTTGTTTGGATGTGCTCTCCTGTGGATTATCGAGTGGCTTGGAATGTTTTTTCTATTCTTCAATGCGTCACCTTATATGTTTAAAAATGCCAGTCTATTAAGCTTTACTCCGGATCCCTGTAAATCGCTATATGGACCCAACTACTTCTTAAACGTTCTCTGCCAATTACTTGCAGTTCAGCCCATGTACACCCTCTTCCAGGCAGCAAATAATCCGAGACAGAGTAACATTGCGATGGGAATAGGTTTCGTCCTTTTGCTTCTAAGTACCGCGATGTACGGTTTTTGTGCCAATGGTCTATTGCAATTCGCAAATACAGAAAAACTTCACCTTCGAGATAGCATTCATGGATTGTACAAACTGACATTTAGCAATTTAGATTTATTCATACACCAGACGGATCAGCAAGCACAAGTAAATTACGTTCATTCGGGCGCAACAGTAACATTTCCACATTTCTTCATCCTTTTCGGGACATGTGTTTGCAATGCAGTAGCATTCTTTCTACTCCAAATTCAAAACCTTTCCATGCACACGTATTTGCACATGATGCCAAACTGGCTACGCTTCGGTCTGGTTTCCGATGGTCGTGAATTGCATATGACCTTCTCCAGTCTTTACCTAATTAGTGCCTATCTGACAATTGTTTTACTTATTTATGGATCAGCCAACCAAGTGCCAGGGGACATATCGGCGAGCCGGTATCTATTGTTCCAACCGCACACAAGTAATCTCACCTTGATGCCTGCTCTTTGCATGATCATCTTGAGCCCATTAATTCCGGAAGTATGGTCCGCCCCCGTGATTGTCGTCAGTGCAATTTCAGTATTTGTCGGGTTAGTCTTCTCTGGACACTCACCTGCAAAACGAGTCGAAACCTGTATCAGACACTGGCTACCATCTGGTCTCTTCTTCCTCAGTATGGTGTTCATTCCCGTAATTTCTATGATTATCAAAGCTCCTGGAGTTTTACCAAATAGTCTGCTATTCAAATATCATCTGCGTTGGCGTAAGAAGCCGGACAAAAGTCACGCATTGTCTATTCTTAATGATAAACGAGTGACTCGTGCCGGAACAGCAAGTTTACGAATAGGGTCTCCGTGATTTAACGTGTGTACAACTATTTAATGTTACCATATTCAATTAAACTATACATAACTTGGAGATTCCATCTTCTTGAACTTACAGAATAAAGGATTTTGGTCAGAAATTGGGTTTGGGGGTCTGTTGTATGCTAAAATTAGAAGCAACCAATGTCCAATCACCGCCAGCATTGGTCACCAAGATTTCCGTCTCGTATATAAACGCTCTCCTAGCTTTGCTACTGCCTCCGCTACTATATGATCATCTTTCAGGTTATGACTTGTATTAGATTCAGGAAATACTGCTTTATCCATATCACTATCGTTGCTGTCCTCTCTCAGTTTCTTCAGTTCTTGGTCACTTCAACGCAACTACACCGTGCGATTCCTGATCTCCTTTCAACAGGTCTTGGAAACAATCGGCTTACTGTGTGTTGCGCAAACAGACACATTCTGCAAACTAAGGATCATTCTTCTATCATCAACCAACTAGATATATACACTTTCAGCGTGTTGGAAAAAATGCACGCGGGTATTTGATTTTGCTCTCCTGTGTGCACTGTTGAACCGTATCACATTGTACACCTGGGCTTATTGATGGTGGATATTTGAGATATCGCGACACATGTATATCCACAATACACTACTCATAAGGTTGCTGAATATCCTTCGACAGGCCACGACCAGCTTCGCCATTCTCGGGGCTTATCAGATAGGCGACGTCCCCTAGTTTCCGTCAACCTAATGTTCTAATTGAACCCAAATTGAATTGATTTCGACAAATAGACTCATTTGCAAATAAGTTTGATTTTCAGGGGAGACTCAAGTGAACCTTTCGTTTATGATGTTCCTCAACTGAATGTGCTGCACCCAGGCCGCCCATTTTCAGTTGAGAAGATATCCGAGATATTGCAGTATATTCACATAAAGGAAACTACTCACAAGGTTGCTGAAAACTCCTCGATATCCCACGACCGGTTTCGCCATGTGGACAGCGTATTCAGTTGAAGAACATCATGAACAAGAGATTTATTCGAGTCTCCCCCGAAAACCAAACCGATTTGCAAATGAATGTTTTTATCACAATGAAACTTGCTCAGACTTTTCTTTCAGTCTATTTGGATGCCGGACATCTATTTCACCCAAATATATGTAACGCTGTTTCTGATTCCAGGACAAATTCAAATCATTATCTACTTGTGCTGAACACTGATGTAACCCTGTTTCCCATAGACGACCGTGTATCTCTAACAGTACCTAGGAGGGAACGCCTGAAGCCATAAATTCTTGCTTGAGTAATACTACCGCGCAACGTATTTCTGTCTATCTGTTCGGTCGAAAGTATAAATATGATTGTTTGAAACTACTGCCCTTTTTATGTTGAAAGTTTATCCCAGAATACACTAAGCTTTCCTTGACTTGATATGACCTGGATTGACTTGACTTTGCCTGACTTGAATTGATATAAGTTGATTCGGATCCCAACTTCTTGGTCTCTAACCTCCCCAGACGCAGTCGACAGGGTTGTATAACGCTTAAAACAGTGGCAGACTATATTCACAGGGGTTAATCCAATTAATTTTTCGTTTTATCTGTTCATCTCTCCATCAGTCTATCCTGTGGACCAACAGCTAGATTTGTTTGAGTTGTTCAATCAAGCTACCTTCCATCTACTGAGATTTCTTAAGTAGTGCAAAATTGCGCCACATACGAAATATGCATGTGGGCTAGCGTGGCCCTAAATGGTTTGGTACATCGTCAAATATCTTCAAATAGGGATCAATCTACGCCAAGAATAATCGAAGCTATGATAGTCTTAGCTCTTCAAAGGAAACAACCCGAGTTTTCCATGGTCTTCTCATCATAATGGACGCTGGTACACACTACCCAATTTGGATTGTTTGCGGCAAGGAAGAGTCTTTTTTCAAAGTTTCATACTAGTGTATATATGTTGCTGCTTCGAAAGGCCATTGATTATGGATTTTCAGCTACATACAGCTCTTCCCGTAGTACATGTGTATCCAATCCTGAAATAAACTGTATTTCTAAATATCTGACATGGGATTCCAGCACACTTTCGGTCACATGTGTCATGGGGTTACCTTACGAGGAAAGCGCTGCTTTAAAAAGAAAGTGTGGGTTTAAACTCTGTCTGGGCGCAACTTGACCACATTGATTATTCACCACTCCTAGTTAAATGGTACTCTTCACTTGCCCATTCCGAGCGTTTCTGTTTCACGTTAATCAAATGCTTTCCATCACTCACTGCATTTACTTTTACTCAACGCCTCCTCAATGGATCTTCTCAGTAAAAATGACTGCAACAGATTTCAGAAGTAAAGGGATTTATTGAGACTATGCAGTTTTTGGCACGATATATTTGTAAGGTACATTATCACATATGTTGTCGGTGTGCTTTGTTTGTATGTTTGTTTACGTTATATCCATCATTCTGATTCTTTTGACGATTCGACACTTGTCTATGATTACAAAAGCCTCTGTTTCGGGTGGCACACTTGTCAAAAAACAGAGCAGGACAGTGTGTTATCTCTGTTTCTGGCTCAGTTTAAAGCTGGTGTTACAATGCATCCACTCTTCTTCGTATGAAATCTAGCAGTCGATTTTAGATTTGTTTGAACTTCTGGCTATACCAAATCAGTAGCTTCGTACGCTACTCAGTTACTCGTAATTTTAGATGAGTTGTGTCAACCATAGTTTCGTTGGTGGTTGATCTTTTGAAATGAATTCGTTTTGTCCGAAATTCAGTTTATGCGCTTGACAGATGCAGGTTTTACGTTGTGTTCTTTACGGTTAGAAACTCGTAGTTGAGTCGAAAATTCGAGATCTATAAATATTCGTTCAAACATTCTGTGCCACACTGGTTTAGACAATCAGGTAGTGAGTTTACACTGGCTTTTTGGAACAGCTTCGCTCCATTTTTATTTACGCTTCGATGATATCTTGATTCCTAGACATTACTTTGTCTTGGAGATCAATATAAGCATTCAGTCTCTCTGCCTTTTCAGCTCTCTAGTTTAGTTCACCCTCACGACTATAACCACTGAATCGTTTATCTTGGTCTCTATCACATTAATAGCCAAATCATCTTCTTTGATGGAGCTTCATCTGTTCTTTTCAGCTCTTCCCCGACGAAGATTTCAATGCCCGCTGCACAAACGTTGCCGGTCGCCCCCTAGTCTTCATCCCGCAAGCAGCCGCAAGCCATATATCTTCCCCACTTGGGGTTGGCAGGCTCCTTACAAATTGGTTCCGGACTGGTTTTCTTCGTGTAACTTCACCGGCTTCGAGAAAGTCTAAGTAGGTTTGCCACTGTGGGTATTCACAACGCCACGTTCCACATTATAATTGATGATATTTTATGGTATAAAGGCCTTTTCTCAGTATGTTCCTCAGATAACTCGGACAACTGGAATTCTCAAATCCATCGATAGTTGAGAGCCGGAACTTTTCATCTCTGTAGCACGTAAACTGTCTCTGCGTAACCAATCAATACTGGTGGCCAAGCAGCTTGCTGCACTTGGTGCGTCTCTTAGAACTCGGACAACTGCATCCGCAAATCACCATCTCCACATGATTTGTACCAGATGAGTTTCATCCATTTTTGGCTGATACGGGAAGACTGCTACAGGTCAGTTTTTTATTGCGACCGGTCAGACAGGCGCACAGATTGGGACAAACATGGGCACATCTTTCACCCACAACTATTAGTGAGGTATACTCGGAACGCGTTTTTCGCCCCTTAGGTGCCGAATCCATGTTGTGGGTCAGATTTGTCTCCTGATTTTACCTTGTTCATCAGGAGATCAGCTTGTGACGAATGTGTAGTCGTCCCACTGCTCTTGACACTCCCCATTTATTAGGCTTTCAAATAAGTCATGGCTGTACGGCAGTGAAGCATTGGTGTTGAGCACTGATGTCATGCTGGATGATGATGATGATGATGATGTGTACTCCCGGAAATGTTACTTGTCTCAGGAGAGCATGATTCACCTGAGATCCATAGCTGCTTTCTTCCTTCGTTGTGGCTTGTCCACGTGACTGTTACTCTGTGATGTTTTGTCCTCATCATCACTATCAGCTGTAAGAACCGCGTACTTGTCGTACAGTGGTTGTAGCTGCCATGACTTCGTTCACCGATGATGTGAAGAGGTGGGGTAGGTAGTTGCGCATTGAAGACATGTTGTGACTTGCTCTACGGTCGTAAAACTCTATGTCGGTCTCTGGCTTCCTGTTCCGCCCACTACGGTATATTAAAGGCACGGTAGCTTCAGACAGCCCGTCATGGAGACAAAGGAAGATTATTACAACTGTATTTACAGGGTAATCACAGGATATTCCACAAGGTCGTGCTACAATCTCCGTGAGGAGGTGAGAAGCGCCGAGCTAAATATCCGGATGGACTGGTATTCTGACTAATCGCGGAATGTCTTCGTTTGTTGCGTAGCCCGCACGTGACACATCACCCCAATTGGCGTGCCGTTCGCCTATTAGGGGCATTTGGCCTCCGGACGAGAAGGAAGCTAATAAATTGATGCGTAACTACTGGGCCTTCAGTGGACTATTAAGTGGGGGATTGGAAGGGAGCTACGCATTGAAGACAATAGCTAGGATGCACAAGCGCCATTGAGGGCGCGACTGGGCTATGTCTGACAACGTCTCTAACCATTGATGTGGCCCGTCTCGGGGTCCCCATGCAGGAAGACGGCAGTGACCAGCACAGCTGAGTTTGCTGGTAATGGCTTTCATACTTAGCAGCGAAGCCACTGTTTGATCGCCTGTGGCTCTCTTCCACCCTTCACGTAGTTGTGCGAAAAGAACTCTTCGAGCAAGTCGGCCAAACGGCACACGCAGCACGTGGACCAGCCAGCGCAACCCATGCAGTATGATCAGTTCATCTATTGTGAGTTGTTTCTCCCGAATACCACTCGACGTACTTTAGCATTGCTGATCCGGTGTTCCCAGAAAATTCAGTAGCATTTTACATATCGCAAGAGGTGAAGC